AAAGTTAATTTCTACTGCTCATCTTCAATTGAGAGCTTGTAGGCACGCAATGTCAGCCTCGATGACTTCATACTGGCTTGAAATCTTGAATTTAATGTTGTATGGTTCTGAAAAACTTCTCCGAAGAGCTTTTCGAAAGGCTATCAACAACAAATATGTAAATAAATAAGTAGATTGTGATGTCACCGAGCGGGAACTCGCCTGAAAGCTCGCCCTCTCATTGTGCATTTCTGTAATGCGTGACGGAACCCAGAAGAAAGATTTCTTCATTTTATTACTACTCTTTTCTCTTCCTTGGCGGTACGTTTGGCATAAGCAGCAGCTCCTTTATGAAACCCGTCGATCAAACGTCTGATTAATACTCTGCTCCTGTAGAACAAGTCTACCGAGCCATGGGAATGTTTGGCTGCTCACGTATTTCGTGATACCGTATCCCCATACGCAGAGATTACTGTATCACACAATCAATGAGAATTCTTTCACGTATACGGCATATCAAGGAAATTAATTGGTAAACCTAGAGATGGAAGTAAGTAAGAGTAGTATGTTGTGTTGAAGGCAAGTGGCCCAAGAAGGCTGGTAGGGTTACTTCTACAAAGAAGGATCTGGGAAATCCAAATCATCAATTACTCAGACTGTAGACATAATTATCGTACGGTATCATGTTTATTCATTACGATTGGCTACAGTAATCATGTGATTGAAACGCCCTCTACAGTCTTACCAAAACCTGTCCTAGCCCCCAGTATTTCCAGTATTTGGGTCATTGCTTCCCATAGAGATCCGTATAGGTCCAACCACAACTAGAACTAAAGAATACAAATAGTTAAGGGCTGCTAAAAGCTCGTGCTGATTCTTTTATAGTTGTAGCGCCATGCGCCATGTCGTTTGAGTTCTCAGCTACCGCCATGAACCGAGGTGACGCTCGGTTGGCATAATGCTTAATTTTGTCAGTGTATCTTTTGTGAACGAAGCCTTATACTTGGCTTTTTTCGAGGATATCATTCACTTTTTCCCATATACTTACTTTACCCATACCATGGTGGGCAAAGGCAGTAGTGAGGAGGTGGGATGGGGAGACAGGGAGAGGAAAAATGGGCGGGAACTGACGGATAGCGATACTGGCTCACTGCCATACTTCTGTAGGCATCTCCACTCATCTTGTGTTCATGGACTTTTTAACTATTTGAAATTGAATTATTTGAGTTGGAAATCCTGCTAGGCCTATCTGACCCAAGCCGCGCTCGCTGTCTCACTGCCGTCCTGGAAAATTTTTCGATGAACTTTCGACAGGTTGAATTTCTCTTCACTCACTTCATTCGTCACACCTTAGGAAGAACCCAATGGTTTTCCTCTCAAGAAATCCGTTTTTCGAAGCAGCCCCCATGTAGAAAACTCGCAGAGCCTAAGATGTTAACGGTAAACTCTGAGTGCAAGGTTGGTAAACAAGGATTCTCTCAAAAGATTGCCTTGATTTGATCGAAACGTTGATAGGAGAATGAATGCGATTGTTGATGGGGACGACCGAAATGGAAAAAAGTCGTTCGTTGACTTTGAAGCACCTCCTCATTTTCACCTGACTGGAGTTTCTCTAGTCGCCCTCCGTCAGAATCAAACGTTGCTCGTTCAAAAACTGTTCCAGTCTATTTCTCCTTCTCTTCGGAGTAGCCTTCAGTTTTGGAGGGCTGATAGATGTNAGATGTTTTTAGAACATTGCAGTGATGTTTGTTTTGTCATAGTGGAATCCTAAGAGCGTGACATACATAATTTGTCAGCATCAGTCCGTTTCGTGCTCCTTTCGACTCGAACCCGAAGTAAACATCTTTCGAGAAGCAGCCTAGTTGACTAAATCAAGAACACATGAGCCATGCAAAGTCAATTCTACTATTACTTTCCGGCAGTTAGGCTTGTTTTCCTCCTAGGGATTCTACTGAGTTCAAAGTTCTGCAAAGTTCCTTGGATTCAATCACTTGGCCTGTCAATTGAAAAAAAAAATCGGAATCGTCGGCTCCTGGTCAGAAAATGGGAGGGGAAAAAATTTGAAAGACTAGGGAGCTGTGGCCGGGGTCTACTGAAGCCTACAAAATGTCTACCCCCTGAATGCACTTTTTTGTACCAAAAAATCATATCACCAACTACTCAGAGCTTATAATTTTTGGGTTTCTATAGCGTATGCGTAATGAGACAACTAACAAACCAAGCGTCGCATGCGGTGAGACAACTAGCCAAGAAAGCTGTGCGCTGAATATGATGAAGCACATTCCAGAACATCTTGCTTAAAAGCATTGATAGATAGGACCCAATCTTCCTGAATTCGCCATGCACCCTTTTTTTGTTCCGCTCTCAAAGGCGTTGTAATTGCTACAACGACGCCCAAGCTTCTATTCAACAGCTCTTTTCCCTTGGTTCAAATAATCCGCAGCCACCAAAAGGCGTANTTTCCCATGAAGTAAGAAGTTCCTGAGGCCACCGTTGTGTTTCTGCTCTGTTCACTGCTTCACATTGGGCGTTGCTCTCACCATTTACAGAAACCTTTTGATGGAATAAATATCGTAAACAATAAATACTGTAGCAAACCGAAAAGCAAGATCATCAGTAAGACTGCTGATTGGCTACCTGGGGAGAGCCTATTGAAGAAGGAATCAGAAAACACGTTCAGAGAAGCCTTAAACATAGAATTCTGGAAAATTCCAAGGCGCTGGCATGAAATGCTTCACTCCTCCCTTCTGAGAACCCTCCTTCTCACGCCAGCATGTTCTCGGGTGTTGGACAGGCTTGGGACGTTCTAATAAAGCCACTGAGCCCTTTTTATTATGCCCAGCCATCCTTGGCCTTAATAGCGAAGGAACACAACAGCAAGTTCCAGACAGATATAATTTCTTACCGTAATCCAATTCTGCTTGATATTACCACTGGTCGTGAAGTGTCGTGAAATAACACTTATCAATTTTGTGGAAGTTTTATGGAGCAATATTTGGATTACTGTAAGAACTTTGGTCTGTACTGNGTTCACGTATTCATGAGGTAGCTGTGTAACTGTCCATGTCTGTCCATCTTGTCAGGCCTTCTCCTTCTTTCTCCTAACGATTGTTCCATGCCGATGTTTTCGTCGGTCGGTCGTCGAGCAATTGGAGGTTGGCAGGTTTTGCTGCATGCGTCGTTGCTTTTTCAGGGCAAATTAGTGTCGTAGAGCTGCATTTAAACGTTGCATGAGAGGTAAAATATGCGGCTCAATTACAGCCATTCCCGATGTGGCCACTTGTCGACATGAGTCGGCCGTTAATTTGTTCGTCGAAATGGCGCAAACGGTTATGCATTAGGCTACTTGTGCTAGCCGGAGCTCCCCAGAATCGCTCCAGATCCCTTTTTATCACAAAATACGAGTTTCCCTTCCCATGAATCCGATCTTGTTCACTGAACGTTTCTTCTAGAACAAGCATTGCTTTTCGCAACACTTTCCCTAGAACAGGGCCAGGAGGTCCCACTTGACCTCCTTCTAACTCTCCACTTTTCACATGGCAGTTTTCAGTCTTCCATTGAACTTGGAATGAGGATTTAGGCCGTAGGCGGCTAGAAAAAAATTTATGAGATTTTAGTGAAATTTCTCCCTACTTTTTATTTTTTGCTATAGTGAACCCTTTTATCCTCAATAGTGCCACTAGTTTCTCCCCGATACTGCAGTTTTATTTTAAATTTATAAGTAAAGTTTTTGGTGTAGATTGATCCCGTACTTGGGATGCGCCTCCGCACTGAACTTCCATTAAGGATTGAGGTGACGATTGACACTGCGTGGCTTTTACAATGACTAGAGGTAGCAGAGGTACAAGTCAGTGCATCGATTCTCCCGAATCTGATTTGAATTAACCGCCCCCGGAGGGATGGAAGACTTGTTTGACCTCCTTGGCGAGTATCAATTTGGGATTCGCTCCTTCGATTCCCAAAACCGTCTAGGTGTGACAGTGAGTCTTATGCCACCACACTGCCTCCATCCCGAAAGATCCATCCCGGTAAGATAAGCTTAGGGGATGCAAGTTCCCAAGCAGCGTTCTAGATATGTGATTAATATGGAAAAAGCTTAATATCCCGGCAATTGGTTCCAATCTTCATCTTCAACTTTTTTAAACGTTCCCACTCTCTAGCGCTCTTGACGGCTTCTTCAACCAGTTTCACTAATCCGCGTTAATGTTCCATCAAATGAACCCCCTAGCGCGTTCTCGTAGAGTGCCTTTAATGGTGGTGGCAACTAAGTTGTTGACAAAGGCTAACCATGATTTGTATTTTAAAGTTAAAAGTCGTCCCCCATTGTTCTTGTCACATTAGGGAATTCGACCCACTTCAAGTAGATTCCTGTTCAGTAGGACTTTCTATTGGTGTTATCAAAATTAAAGTGAAGCGTGGTCACCTACAGAATCTCTGGCATCTGGTACGTAGTTGTGGAGCGTAAACTTCGAATTCGGAAGTAACTCTCGTCAAATTCATATAGTTTTCGCTTTCATTAGTTCTTATCAGACAATTTTATCAGCTCATATCTGTCTCTATCACCAGTATGAGTTTTTGCCAAGTCCCACCACCGATCCCCATTGTCGCTCCTATCACTTCATGATTTACTTATATCATACTCAATACGGTAAAGAGCGTAATTGGTCTTATGACCACTGCTTTTCAACGCCCCTTATCATTTGTTATCTCTTTTTATCATTTAACACTAACGTCATCTATATCTTCTGTAAGAACGAGTCAATAGACTCAGAGTGACGCTAGTCTTCTGAAAGGTTTCAATAGCCTTTACCAACTTTTATCATTCGCTACCGCCCACCGCCCACGTTTTCGTCATAGTTCCGTGGAGTGAGCAGGTGCAATGTTCCCCGAAGCCATAACCTATTCATTGACTTTTGCTTTTTAACTCCTTCTCAGCGTTATTCAGTTGTTATTACTCTCCATCGCCAAATTCAAGTATCTCTTATTTATCTATCTAATTTCCTTAAAAATCTAATTTTCCGATGCCTAGCGTAGCGAAAAAGGGTATGAGTTTCCGGTTGAGTAGGTAAACACCGAACACACCTGCATCCACCCGCTATACCCATGCATACATATATACAGTAGCGTTCAAAAGTATTCGGCGAAATGCTTCTTCAGTTGTACTTTTCAGTCGTAACATCTTTCCTACTTGATGCAATCGTGCGAAATT